TCTTTGTGTGATGCACGTGGACCAGGTTCTCTTTGCGTGATGCACGTGGACCAGGTTCTCTTTGCGTGATGCGCGTGGATCAGGTTCTCTTTGTGTGATGCACGTGGACCAGGTTCTCTTTGTGTGATGCACGTGGACCAGGTTCTCTTTGTGTGATGCACGCATGCACGTGGACCAGGTTCTCTTTGTTGTGGATGCTCTTTGCTTGATGCGTGGACCAGGTCTCTTTGTGTGATGCGCGCGTGATGACCAGGTTCTCTTTGTGTGATGCACGTGGACCAGGTTCTCTTTGCTTGATGGATCAGTGGATGCACGTTGACAGGTTCTCTTTGCTTGATGCACGTGGATCAGGTTCTCTTTGCGTGATGCACGTGGACCAGGTTCTCTTTGCGTGATGCACGTGGACCTGCACCTGTTTCACGTGCATCAGGCTCTAGAGCTAGTTCATCTAAGTAAGGTACACTGTTTATACAATTTAGTAGAGTCCTTAAGGGTTCCTATCAATCCCATACACCCACCCATCAAGGTCATGTAGATGTGTCCGTTTCTTAGTTTTTCTCATAAAAAAATTATCTCATCATATTATTGAGCAGAGGGTAACATGACAATGCATTGCTCACCCACAAAGAAATGCCATGTCGAAGTTTTAACATAGATTTCTCACTCAGGTACAGCACACTGACACAAAGCCGACGAGTCCTTAATGTCGAGCGCTAGGCAGGGTGACAACAAGTGCCATCTCTTATCCTCGTAAGCGTCCGCCCGGAGAGCAAGGTCGCGGGGTTCGAGACCGTACAAAATACAAAGGGTACTGGTCGGCCCTCGAGTCGGCATAATGTGTGGTCTCGAGTCAGTTTAATGTGTCTGAGTGGGGTATTCATGCTTCACTGCGGCATGGTATCTCGGTGAGCTAGCACTATAAAACCAGCTTCAGTCAGGGCAAGTACAAGCAGCCGCACATCTCATGAGGCGGCTGGAATCGATTCGCAATCTTCCGCATTCCGGACATTTTATCCACCCGATTTGATAGGACTGATAGACACACACATTAGTGGTTTTAGGTTGTATGTTTAGAGTTCACGTTTAACGTTTTTACAAATGTAAACGTATATTGTGTTATATATTTTGTCTGCACACCAGATAATGCAAAAGGTTATGAAAAGGTTTGCAGTGTTTCAAATCTGGGTAAATAAGCTGCTGAAATAATACAATCTTACCCTCACCCTATACAATGTATATACATCTGATGTTCTTGAGGAATCGCTTTGTGTCGAAAATAGAATGGCAACCATAGTTTTAGTTCTTATCGATATTACTTTGTGAACTGATAAATGCTTAGGACACATTTGAACTCTTCAAATACACAGGGCGTATGGCGTAGCGCAGTATTATCATCATGAAAGCGTCAAATGATTTATTTCCATAATCGTAAGAAATCTCTACAGAAATCAAACTTCGACGTTATCAACTGCGTGCGTCTATTAATCAATAACTGTATGAAGTAAACAATAGTATCAACTAAGTACTGATATGCATTGACATTTCAAAACTTGAATGCATCTTGAGTACGTCTGAATTAAGAAGTGACTTGGTTTTGTTCGCATCAGATAAGGCTGATAATACGCGATTACGTTTCTTACGAGATAAGAGAACTCTTGAGGTTGAGAATATTCGCACTAGACAAATTGTTTACGTTTCCTTCTGAACCTGTGCGAATTCAAACCCTCCATTTAAATTGCAGCGTTTTTGTTGACACTTTTACTTTTAAATTAAGTTAGGTTTTGATGGGAATTCTCAGAGCAGCGAAGCTGTAACACTCATTGGCTTCCACAGTGATGGATGTGCAGTATAGGAAGATAGCTCATATCGTCATCACTTATCTCTTAAACAAAAAAGCCACGCCATTTATTCTGTGACACACTCTCCACTTTAGGCAGAGGATATTTTACAGAACTGAAGCAATTCTAAATCGTTGAATTAGTACTTCAATTCCCTTCATCAAAATTAAGATTTATCAACAGGAATGGTCGTGTAAAACGACTAGGTTATGTCTGTTTTTAGTGATTAATATACATTAACTATTCAGATGATCCATACAAAGAGTATCATTGTTCGGGGTACTTCAATGAAACCGACTGTGTCTGTTTTATGTATTGCAATTTGTTTTTCATGTTTACGTAATAACAGAATGTAAGACAAGTGTTAAGTCAGCAGTTGTCCAACCCAGTAATCGTGGCTTAATTGTGGCTTGGGGTTATAGAATATAGCGGATTAGATCCAAACGTGATCGTAGGACTGTTAGTACCATACGTCTGGTTCAGTAAAGTGTTCATTGTCTATGCTCACGTCACATTTTCCTTTAATCGCCGTATGGGTGAGTGAGTGAGTTGGGGTTTACGCCTCCAAAATGTCCCATCAATACCACTACCGATTCCTACCCATGAAGATTAGAATTGGTTTTCATCAACCCATGCTTGTCGTAAGAGGCGACTAACGGGCTGATGTGGTCAGACTCGTTCACTTGGTTGACACATCCCATCGCCATCGTATCCCAGCTGCTTAGACTAGTGTTCATGATGCTGGACACGGTCTGGCCCAGACTCCATTAGTTACAGACCGCTGAAATATTGCTGAGTGCGGCGTTAACCAACAACCCAACCAACCAACAAACCAACCAACTAACAAACATTCCCGAGTGTACCAGAAATGGGCTTCATGCACTGTTCCCATGAAGGGAATCGAACCTGGTTCTTCGTCCCAATAGGCTCTCCTATCGCATAAACAACATCATGTGACCCGCTCTTTCCCGACTAGTACAAGAGGCCACATGCACACTCACCCGCACGAACACGTGCATGCACAAAACATATAAGAATTGTAATCTTGAGGGCCATGTAAACATAAAAATCAACCCATCTAACCCCATCCTTCAAAGTGATAAAAGCGACAAGACCCTCTCCTTAATCGTATGAAATATCTGCTAAAAGCAGAGCCCATTCAATGGTTCCAGTTGGATCAAGTCCGTCACTGACATGTAATAAATTGTGTCCAATAAAACTCAACCCTTAAACTTAAAGAAGGAAACGATAACTCCAAAGAGGTCATGGTGCAGCTTCTGGCAAGGCAGGATATGGGATAGTGACACTTCTGTTCCAATCGGTCAAGATCGGCTTATCCAGGAAGTACACTATAATCACCAAGGCATTGATAGATGTTTTTCGGATTAACCTCCGGCAACATCTCAATCTTACTTGATATATACCTTTAAGCCATTTGATATTCACATCATTCACATTAATATCATCACTGTAACACGACACTGATAAAACAGAATCAAACCTGAATGATTTACACTTGTATGACATGGTCCTTGCTGAGAGAAGTTTTTAAGAAATACTGGTAACACCACTATTAACGATTCATATACACATGCGTAAGATAAAGTCTGAATGGTATGGGTTTGGACTCTGATTTTAGTAGAGATTTCTTATATCTATGTAAAGGCTTTTGTCGGTTTTATTGACAGCCTCTGAAACTTCACTCTTTAAAATTATGAAATCAGTTTCCATTACGTCTTATTGATATATACAACCGCCTCCGTGGTTTAGTGGTTAGAGCGTCCGCCCGATGAGCGGAAGGTCGCGGGTTCGATCCCCGACCGCGTCATACCAAAAGCCGTTAAAATATGGTAGTTGTTGGTCCCTGCCTGGCGCTCGGCATTAATGGGTACAACAAGGACTGGTCGGCTCGGAGTCAGTATAATGTGTCTGAGTAGGGTATTCATGCTTCACTGCGGCATGGTATCTCAGTGAGCTAGCACTATAAAACCAGCTTAAGTCTGGGCTAGTACAAGCAGCCGCACATACACATACACACGCATGCACGTTGTCATATGAGCGAAATATTCTCAAGCACGACGTAAAACCCAATTTCACCTCACCTATTGAAATATACCGCTCGTAAGCAGTTAAAGAACTTGTAATCTTCAAAAGACTTCATTCACATTGAAATTTTCAACATCCATGGTACATGTTGGGTGCATTTTTGTATTCCGGTTTTGATTACGGTACATATGTACATACAGTAAGGTACCTGTGGTACATTTCTGTAGCTCGTGCCAACCCCAACCTCAATTGCATTACTTTTTAGAAGTTGTTAAATTCATATTGTTTTGTTTGTACATAATCTATCTTGTTCTCATTAGCAAAGAGGGAAAAACTAGCTGGGAACAATAATAAATTGCCCATTTGTGATGCTTGTAAAAGAAACTGTAGAGGACAGAAATATTGTGTCAAACGTGCTGTCGACACGACACAGATATTCTTCTTGGGGTTGCACTGTGCTTTTAGAATCTCGTCTAGATTGCAATATTAGCTAAATTGCTGGTGAGATACTGCAGCGGAAATCGATAATGTCACAATTTACTTTCATTCTAAGTCATCATTCTAGTTAATAACTATGCTGGCGATTACGAACGTCGCAAAGATAACATCGGTAAAACATGCAGCTTGATATTGGTTAACCATCATGTCAAACTACGAGGTTAGTAGATTATGCTTCAACAAAGGCGTGTGCAGCAGGTGCTACCGGTAGAGAAGGACGTGCATACCCTCCTGGCAAACACCTGGTGTCATCAGTGATTTCCAATGATCCCACTACTTTGTTTTTTACGCCGAAGGCAATCTGTTTCCGGACATAGTCGAGACTGATCATTTTCTAGCGTTATAAACATCCGTAACTAGAGTATATAGTGGAGGGCATATGGAAGAATAATTGTCCTTCTTTCACTATAAGGGACAATTGTCCATTGTCTGAGGATCCGCTGGATAGTTCGAAATTCAGATTCAGCCCAATTACGCTAATACGCGCTAGTTGGTTCGTTAACGACGAAGACGCTAATGACTCTTTGTTTCTTTGTATTTTCACAACCATTAAACTGAAAAGGCGCCATATACGTGACATAACATCAACGTCATTCACTCATTGCTTTTCTATAAAAGGTCAACAAGGAGTGGAACGGTTTAGTTCGGGTACTTCTGGACAAGAAGGCGGACATGGTCATCACATCCCTAAAGATCAACCCAGAGAGAAGTACAGCTGTAGACTTCTCTGTACCGTTCCTGAAGACTGGGATCACCATCATCGTCTCCATCCGAGACGGGGCCATATCACCAACAGCCTTACTCGGTATGGGTACTGACAATACATTGGATATCTTTCACATTTTGAAACAAATATTTCATTATTCATGTCAGTGACACAGAGGCGAAATCTACAGCAAAGTTTGTTTTGAGTGTTTTTATAGTGAAACTTATTGAAGTCAATAAACATGGCCATCTTTCCTGAAAATAGTTTTCCATTACATCTTCGAGAAGGCAAGACAGAAAATTTCTGTCAAAAGGTCTTTATGGAAAACTCGTAAAATGGAATTATCTGTTGATGATAGGAAACCCTTTCCTTTGAAGTTTTTGTTTGAATTATCTCTGGTGCCATGACAAACAACGCAAAAACAGAAAATCGGTTTGTCTTGCAAGTAACGCTGTTCCCAATGGCTTCAGAAGTAGAACAGCAATCAACATCAATGTATGTTTATAGAGCCCTACGACTACCCATCATGGTGCTTCATACTGCTGTTCAGCGTCCATGCCACCGGGGCCTCCATCTTCATCTTCGAGTGGCTCAGTCCCTACGGTTTAGACAGGGGCACCGCAGTATCTAAGGGTAAGTGCCATATGTGATAAAAGCAGCAGCTTATCTTTTCCAATTTAGTACTGGCTTGTGGTTTTAGTCACGTGTGATAGTATCTAAATGACGTACTGGTATTCATGTAAATACTGGGATTTTAAGGAGTGGTTGGTTTTATAGTACCAGGCTGAATTATCAGGATGTCATCACAGTGTTCAGGAGAACCGTGATTGGTCATCTATAATGAAGTCTGACCCATACTTGTCTTATTGCTGACACTATTGCGAGAGAAGAGCACATGTGGTGTTGTAATAATACCCTGTTATCAACATGCCACATGATGGGCGACATCTTAGGTTTGCGCAAGACATTTCACACCTCGTCTAAATTGCAAGAAAGGCTAAACAGCTATAGTAATTGGGGCGCTGCTGCGAAAGTCGATAATTTTACACTTTACTTTCATTGTCAATAATCGGAATAGTTAATAACTATGCTAACGATGAAAGCCCGTTCAGTTGATTGTAATGAGATGTTAAAGTCTTCTGTATTCTAACCATCAAAGGAACACCATGCATTTGAATAGGAATAATCGCTCCCTAATGATCGAGAGATCGGTGACAAGCTCCAACGTTATGAATTTCAAGGCAAGATAACACTGTGTCCATTAGCATACAGCTTCATACATTTCTCGTAACTCGATGTAATAGATAAGGATGTCTAGGGCTTGCGTACCCGGGAGACAGGTAAAGAGTAGGGCAGCGGCAGTCCCTTCGGTTGAAAGTGTCAGGTGGACTGACTTCAAGCTGTGGAGTTGGCAGTCGATGTCCCTTGTTGGGGCTGCAAATGTCATCCATGATGCCGCCGTGGAGTAAGGGGAGAACGTGAACTCAACACCGCGCTGATGTGTCATTCGTAACCCTGAGGACATTCCTTACTTAATTGTTTCTTACGTACAGAGCAAGTGAAGTCAATCACGTATACCGTTGATTATTTCGGTGAACCCTATGATAATGCATTATGGATGGACAAGCAGTTTCTGTTATGATGGGATACAGAAAAAAATGAATTCTCTTCGTAGCTGCTAACGGCTTGTGAATAGCTAATTGCTCCCGGAGTTTTGATCACAAACACTTGATATAATGATAAACTGATTAAATTCCTTGACGAAAAAGGGTTTGAAAACGAATTATTCATGCAGAATCACTGCAGGTAGTTAAAATTTAAAATGCATTTTGTCAAAGGAAAGTCAAAATAATCGGGACATAAGTTGCACATGATGTAAAAAGTTGTGTTTCATTTCATTAATGTCATGACTCAAGAAAATGTGCATGAACATACACGTGTTGACAATTTCCATTGTCAGTATCTGCATTGATGCAAGTGCATGAATATAAAAGCGTAAAGGTCAATATCATGCCTGTAAGTGATAAGGTAGATAGATACCTCTTAATGTCAACACAGCAAAGATAATGCATCGAACAAGCTGCCACTTGAACCTCTCCTGTGAACATATCTAAACGTTTAGGCCATATGACGTAAAATATGTACCGCAAGAGAAATGGTCCACCCTTTCGTTGCTCCTCGAGACTATGGATGTCCATTCTTCAAAGCCATCTTGAAGAATAATGTCCCCTGGGCACTGTAGCTCAGTATTGTTTTCCCGGTTGAATGGACTTCACTGCCACTTGGTGCTGACAGACTACTCGTTTAATTATTTCTGCACCGATGCACCTACTTTCCAAGAGGATAGTAATAATATATCCTCATAATTAACACTACCGCTATAGGGAAGTTTTACTAGAAAACGGATGAGCGGACATGGCGGTCAGTTGCATTTGTTGTGGTGTTCGTTTAGGCTCTCAAATTTTGTGCGTTAATAATCTGTTTGCAATTACAAAAGTGCAGATATTCACCGACGTTTGGATATAATCCTTGACAATACATCGTGTTTGTTCCAGCTGAAGACAACGCACAGAGTTAGATCTTGTTTTTCACTCCTCGTGGACTTGTCTGTGTTGCGTGTTTTTATTGATCAGAGTAGGAGATGATGTTCCGGAGATTATTTTTTGTTGACGCTTAAGGTCAGGCACGACGTCGTCCTCACAAATTGAGAATTGCGGGAGGTACTAACTGATAATTTCCTTTTCTTTTCGACCTTTCTTTTGGTGTGTGAAAAAAATACTAGTTTATCATTGGCGGGGGAAATGTACTGCGCAGAGTTAGGTTGGTTAGCTGAAGTAAGATATCCAAAGGGTTTCAGTTAATTGTTTTTCACTTCCGAACCATTATGCTGAGCAATGGTGGTGTGGAAAACACCGGTTTATGTGATATGCTGTCTGAGAGAGCTTACAAGTGAAGACTTGAGGACGATTATATAATATAATCTTCAACTTTAATGATGTGAAGAGACTCTTTGTGAAATTTATCTGAGAGAGGTAGACTATAGCTCTTATACCACATAAAAACACACCGCCTGACTACGGCAAAAGCAATGAATAGCAGGATGTCGGAAAGCGGCTAAAGATCGCTTAAAGAGGGACAATTTTTGGTGTTCCATTTGAGATGTCTTGGTAATGTGAAATTGGTGATCAAATAAGTCTAACAAAGTTATTGTTTGTTTGTTTGTGTAACGTCGCACTCAGCAAAATTCCAGATTTATGACTGCAGGTTGTAAATAATCGAGTCTAGACCAGGCACACTAGTGATTAACATGATATCATCGATCTATGCAAATGGGATATGATGACATGTATCAACGTCAGCGAGCCTGACCACAATGTCCCGTTAGTGCCCTTTGACAATCATGGGTCGCTGAAGATGAGTTCGAAGCTGGATCTTCTCTGGTTGTAGCAAGAAGAATTTTCAACGTACATTGTATACCTAATACCTCGTAGGACTCATGAAAACTTATTTTTCCAAAGTTAGCGATTTTTCATTGTCCTTACAATTCCCATGTGGGAGTTGACAGTTCTCCTCTGCAGGAAACTCAGTGATGAATGATACGTGTGAACCGTATCCCATTGTGCGAGACAAAGAACGAGCATAATAAGGCATAATGGCTGAAGGGATGGTGTAAGGCCATGCAGGTTAATGTAAGTCCCCATCTTCAGTTATTGCATTGTTTTCCCCTATAGATTTTAGATTTAATTACTAGTTTTAATACATGTGATATTCTAGTTGTTTTACAAGAACTATATTTAATTTTAATATCAAATGTTCTTAACGATATGGCTTATTGCCGACGTTAAATTCACTACTCCTCACTGATTTGCTTGAGCAAGAACTAAACTTTATTCAATATATCTCTTCAATGTTCGGGATATAATCAGCGGAAAATTTATAGATAACGGCTGTTAACGTTGAAAGAACAATATAGATTCTTAGGACATGTACTCTAATATTTCTACGCCAGCTATTCTCAGATCTAGATTGATAGTGGATACACTTTGAGGAAATTTAGAATGATGCCTATATTTCAAAGTTTACAATTTTAATATTTGACATTTTCACTGAGCCCCAAAAATGGAAGGAAAAAGGAACGAAAAACAACCCTTAATGGATCCTCGTTCTTCCCGAAGGACTATGTTCCCTTTCAGCAGGTTCTGTTTGTATGGCAGTCTGGCGACCCCACGGCTCTTGTCATTTCAGATCATAAGTTCTCTTTGTTCCGGTCCCTATGGCTGATCTGGGCCATGTTGTTCAGCGCGGCCGTGACAACCGACACACCTCGGGGTATCTCCAGCCGCTTCCTTGGGAACATGTGGGCTCTGTTTGCCCTTGTGTTCCTGGCCAGCTACACCGCCAACCTTGCGGCCTTCATGATCACCAAGAAGGAGTACTACGACCTGTCTGGTATCCAGGATTGGAGGGTATGTATTTGAATGAGTGAGCGAGTGAGTGAGTGTTTAACGTCACAGTATTTCATCCATATCGTGACGAGAAATATTTCACACCAAATGGATCGTATACGAGAACACCTGTCGACACCGAAACAGAATATCAACTAGAATATCACAATTACAACTAAAACTAGTGTGGAAAAATAAAACCAATAGCACTATTTGGACAATACAATATAAAAGCTGGCTATAGATCGCCAACAACTGAAGGTAGATCACCAAACTAGGGACCATGGGGACTTTTGACATTACTTTTGCTAATGAATGAATGAATGAATGAATGAATGAATGCGATGTCATTGTTGTAAAAGAGTGAACATTCAGTTGCTATTGCATTTTGATCCTTAGAACAGCAATGAAACAAACAAACAATAATAATAGCTTGACGGTTTCCTGTGTCAGGGTGTTAAATACTGCAAAACAGTCCCGCGCCAAATGTCACCCGCATGCATCTAAGGCATCATGCTAAACCGACACCACTACATGTTGAAAGACACTGTCAGTTATGATTACTTGATGGATGTACAAGAACAAAACATGAAAATCTAACACAAACGCATCCAATCACATCCTCAATTGTCTCAATCTACATCGATCCTTTGTTGGTGCAGAAAGTCGCCTGTAGATTTGGTGATAAGACCAATGACTTCTTCGGGGTATGATTAAAACAAATATGACTGTTTGTTTGTTATGTTTATATCAACACGTTTAACGCCGCAAATATTCCAGCTATATAGCGGCGGTCTGTATATAATATTTGATTCTGGACACGAGACAATCCAGTGATCATGAAAATCATCTACGCAATTTGTGATACGATAATATGTATCATCGAAGTCAGCGAGGCTGACCACCCGATCCTGTTAGTCGCCTCTTCACGACATTGTCAGGGCATTGTACAAAATTATTGTCAAACGATATCTCCTAAGCCGGATCTTCGCGGGTATGAAGTGAACTGGTATATGTCTAGACTATCATCACAGCGGAGGTTGAGTTTACCTTTACTAACAACATTTCAGTAATACCTCTGCATGTCTGAGAAGAAATCGTAATCTGATCGTGCAGATCGAATCCTAGGTTCATTGAATTTCAAGTGAATATAATATACAATCACACGTGGACACGATTTAATCTTTTTGAACAACTTAACAAAATTCATTTTATGTATAAAGAATGTGATGTAGAATTTGGAATTTCGGAATTTGATGAAATGAGACAGCTACCTTGTCCATATTAAACGAATAACATATCTTTTATACATTAAGCCATGTGATTTGCCGTTTTGACCAACTGATATAGACAGGTAATTTACCTAAAGCTTTTTAAAGAAAATTCAACTGACTTAAGACACAGCTGTAGAACTGAATCGATAATAATCAACAATGTAGAAACTCGCAATGTTCCTAACATCTGAAGTCTAAGAGTATCTCAGTGAGCTAGCACTATAAAACCAGCTTCAGTCAGGGCTAGTACAAGCAGCCGCACATACACATACACACGCATGCACGTGGTCATATGAGCGAAATATTCTCAAGCACGACGTTAAACCCAATTTCACCTCATCACCTGAAGTCTAAGACCAGTTGATACTTATATACAACAAAACACTTTTTCCTATTATTGACTTTGAAAAGTTTTCCAATTAGGATGAAACAGTTATCGTATTCTCCATCCGAAATCATATTATCTTCGAGGAATGTCTGTTTTGCCAGTAACGCTTGTACGGTGATAATTCAATACTGGATATTATACTGTTATGTAGAGTGTGCAAATCCTGTATATGGAGTTATTGCGTGTTGCGGCTCAGCTCTACAAACCCAGTCTAGACAGAAACTGGGAGAGAACGGGAGTATACACTATAATCACTTACTGGTGTTAGATTGTCATGTGCTATGATAGGACACGCAAAGCATCACCTACGAGCAAGACAGGAGCTCGGAGTTCAATTGATACATCAATAGAGCGACACATCATCTGTTCATGTGGGATTCAGTGGTAGAAGGTGAATATTACGTGTCCCAACACAGTGGTACTACCCCGTAGTCGATAATTGTAATCACACGGTACTTGGAAAAATACTCTGCGTGCGTTCTGCTACACATTGTAGAAGCAACGTAAGTGATGAAACTGTAACAAAATTAGTAGATAACCAAAGTTAAAACGATAGTTCATGGGTTGTGCTTTACATTAACATAACTGTACATCGCAACAGTTGTCGGTCATTGGGTTAGTTAAAGGCTTTAACATTCTTTGGATAAATATATTATATTTTATCAGTCACCTAGCATTACATGCTACTTCCGGGTACATCCTGTATACAGAGTTTGTAAACAGTTTTCTTTTATAGACGAAATAACATTTCGAACTGTTAAGATTAGGCTCAGAGTCGAGCTATTAAGACGTGAGGTAAATGAAGGCTGATACGTTTAGAGGTTTGCAATATAAGAATTTTAGGAATATGTTTAATTGGTATATGTTGACACAAGTATGGAGAATCCGAAAAGTTTGTGATTTTTTGTTTACTTGCTAGCACGACATTTTCAGCAGAATGTAAATATAACAGTGATTTTTTCAAGTAGAACAGGCATCCCTTTGTCCACTGTTTATCGTGTTTTGAAAAATATTGTAAATGGATATGGCATCACCAACAAAATGAGTTAAAAAAATACGAACTACTGGTTTTACAGTGAAAGTATGGAGAATTATTTTTACTGCAGAATGTAAATATAACAGTGATTTTGGAAACTGTACTCACCAACAAAAATTGCTACGAACTACCAGTGAAGATTTGGGTGCCGTAAGAAGCGACTAATTGGATCGTGGAGTCTGCCTGGGTTGAAGTATGTCATCATATCGATTGATGGTCCTGATGTCAATCCCTGGGTTGTCTGATCACGACTCGACTATTTACAGTATCATATAGCTGGTAAATCGCTGAGTTTGGAGGTACAATATAGACAAACTTAATGGAAAGCAGGAATGACAACGGCGCTTGACAACTGTACAAGAATCGAAAAACGTCACACTCACGAAATACAAGTTGTTTGATCGGCATTCCAGAAGTTGGTGGGTCAAAACTGAGGCATACGACTTTCTGTATGACAACTTCTTGTTATCAACTTGTTTGCTTGATAACGGTGTAAGAACATCAAAACGTCGCTCTATGCAATAAGCAAGAAGTTGTCATTCATAAACGTGTATGCTTCAGAAAAGAATTTATTATCCAAATTAATAATAAAATGCTGGTTTCGTTCCCTAATAAACAATTAAGTGGAACCATGTTAGTATCTGTTTGACAGTTATGAAAGAAGACTTAACGCGTGCCTGATATAACCTTTGTCCATGAGCCACACTATTGCTAAAGTTTGTAAGTGGGCCAGTGAACAAGTGAAATGATGCACATCAGCCTTCAGACAGTTGTGAATAATGGTTCCTTAAGGCATATATAATATCCGCATCTCTTTATTACGCCTTCGAAAATTCAAAACTACCCAGGGATTTGCATTTTCAATGTTTAATGTAATTGGGTAGTCTCGAAGTAAAATACCTGGCAAGTGAATTCAATTCTTATTCCTCAAACCCACGAAGATCCGTGTTGTATAAAGAAGTACTTACAGAAAAACAAAAACTGAAGCCTACTGGTTTTGTAGATGTGGTAATTACAATGTTTTGTGGTTGCATGCGCTTAACACATCAATTTCGTTAGTGAGTACTGAGGCACCATCTGTTACTGGTTACTGTGCATTTATTCGAAGTGCAGTTTGCCTAACATTCGTTGGTAGTATGTGGGCCGGCACAAATGATTCTGCTTAACAGAGAGAATAAACAAGGAATGATCTTACGAATGCACCTGCACGGAGCGATCGTATCGTTCCAATTATCGCAAATCCAATACTTCTCCTGGTGCAGTACCTTCGGTGTCTTGTTAAATGCTATTGTTTTGGCGTCTTTATCATTTGTGTGACACACACACACACGCATCCACGCACGCACGAACACACAACACACACACACAGAAACAAAATAACAACAAAGCAACAACAACAACAAAACAAAAAAAACAACCCCAAAAACAAACTAACAAAAAACAAACCAAACAAAAAAACCCAATAAAACATGAAAAACCCAAAACAGCAAAACACATGCACATCACACCTATAAATGTCACGTTGAACATGTTGGGGTGACGGTTTGATGGAGTAGAACCTAAAACGGATATATCAGTTTCCTATTATTGTCAACCATCGTTTCTGATCTGCAAGTCACAGTTGGATAGATGACAACAATCTATGTTAGAACATCTGTTGAAAATTACTGATTACATGTGGCGAATTTATATTTCGACCAACTACAAATTCCAGGGTGACGTACGTCTCTTTTTCAAAAATACGAAAACAATGGCGATAACTCAAAATTGTAATCAGCGTGACCTCCCTTTCCTAATACAGTTTTGCCGTTGTATTGATTGCACTGTCGGCAAATGCTTTCTACAGTGGACAAAAGCTGCATATATGTTGATGTATGAATAAATCCATGGTAAAAACCTATTATTCCAGCTCCAAAACCCGAAGGCGATGAAGCCACCATTCAAATTCGGTACAATTCCCAATGGCAGCACAGAGACGAACATCAAGAGCAACGACCCCGAAATGTATCAGTACATGAGACGCTACAACAGACCGTCCGTGGCCGAAGGCATCAAGGCGGTCACACGAAAGTGAGTCCACCCCATCCCCAGCCTAATCCTCACCCCACCACACACCACCCGAAATCCAGTATAGCTAGTGTACTAACAAGAGCTTTGTTTGAGTATGCTTAAGCTAAACATAATTGGGATCATACTGAATTGATTATAATCGGAAATTAAGATTTTTAGTAGTGCTGAACATTTTTTTTACATTAAATTTAACAGGAAAAGGAAATTGAATCTTAAGATGATATAGATTATCTGACAAGGCTATGTATCATTATTTTTAATGCAATACAGATCAAATCAAATGCAAAAAAATCTCTATGTATTACTCTAATTATCAAAGGTCTGATAATATAAAATATATCTGTTCCATCTTAAGTAAAATTGAGAACTGTACCTAAAATCCTTAGAAAAGGCGTTTTACTGAAAAGTCACATACAATAAAATAGGATATAGATCACAGTGCTGTCGCCTTATAAAATACTTGTTTATTTTTTCCCTTTAAACTTGGAAACCTTTTACTTTTACATTTGAATTTTATGATCTGTTGTTAAAGATCCTTCACGAACTCAATTATTGCTTTTGAAGATTTCAAAAGTTTGCTTGAATCGTCATGCGCAAATTAGTCCACATTGTATCCCGATGTCCAAATGAAGCTTAAGTATGCATTTGGCAGCATTGGGGATGTGTTAGCCGTACCGTTAGCCGTTGAGAATACTTGTGCGTGGTTGGTCATTACTCATCAGAGGGATAATAGCCTTGGACAGATCTTCTCGAATTGTTTGAAGAACACTTTGTCTGCAGCATTACGATACTCGGCTGACTGCCGGAGATTTGTTTCAAATAGCGGAACCTGTGTGGCACATTACCTCAGTGGCATGTTTGGCGATGACATGTAATGTTTTGTAGCTAAACGGAAATTGATTACAGCTTAATGCCCAGCTATTGCACTGCCCATCTATTTGCAGTAATTGAACTTCACGCCATCAAACAATGCACATTACGTTTTTGCGAGCGCTGTCTCGCGGCCATTAAGGTACTGGGGGTGTTTTCGCCTGATGTAACATGTTCTGCTGCACTAGCTGTCTATCCTTTTCAGTCCGTGCTGTAGTTCTACATTGACTTATTTTGCCATGTTATCGTCAACGAAAAAACCCCACACATTTCTGCGCCAAAAGGGATTATTTCAACCTTCCGTAAAACAACTTTCTCTTCATGTCGAGCAATATTCCAACGGCTACAGTTTTTGGTGTTCCTTTCTCAACGTTTTTAGTTAGAATCGATCATGTACCTTTTACCAAGATACGATTCTTGCTCAGAAACTGTACGATCAAGGTTACAACATTCAAGGCGTCAGTAAAGTATTCACAAAGTTTTATAGAAGTGTGCAGGAAATATCAAATTGTGATGCATTAGGGACACCGATGCAATCCTATTTTGACTTGCACAGAATTCTTTTCAGGTGAACAATTGAGTATGCCTATGCATATGTGATGGTGCAACTAAGCTAAATGAGTCGTATTTAAGACGACTGGTTAATTCCCGTCTGTGTTTCAGAATATGAAACTTTCATCCAGTTTCACTGACTGCTCGCTTTTGATCTTCATAAGCAATTTTTAATGACATAGGCGTAGCATGCGGCAACCATACACGCATCACTACCCGCTTCTTACGACCAGGATATGATGCTGAGAGCCGGTTTTAATCCCGAATCCTGACTGGGTCGTACACAAATTCTCCATCAACATTTCACATCTATTATAATGTAAATGTGGTAATGCTTCTGCATAATGTATTGTTGGTAATTATTCGACTGATGAACATCCACTCTCAACTTTAAAATGCCTTACTTAATATGTTAGTGAGCTCTGGTCAGGATTTCGATAACATGTACAATGGGTTGCCAACTGCGTCCTAACTTACACAAACCTACCTGACACACAAGGAGCAGGAACGATGTTAATGCCTCACATCCCCAACAACTTTTGCCCCTCAGACAGCTCCATGCCTTCATCTATGATGCAACTGTGTTGGAGTATCTGGCTGGACAGGACGAGAAGTGTAGTCTCATCACCGTAGGGAAGTGGGGAGCTATGACAGGATATGGAGTTGCTTTTCCCAGGGGGTCCGAGTGGATCGACAAGGTTAATGGTGCCATACTTCGACTGACTCAGAAAGGTGTGTATTTTAACGCAGTTACTATAATTCCGACAGATTTTAGTGCAGGGTGTGGTGTACAGGAGGCAATTATCTCTTCATTTAGAATCATTTTTCAAACAAAAAATAAATATATTGCTTTGTCATGGTAAAGTATATTTTTGTACTGGTATGTTCTTACATGAACACTTCTATGGTATTTACTTCCATTTCTATGTTATATCTCAATCTTTTATTTTTATTTTTCATCTTATTTTATATCGTTTTTTATACCGGTTTTTCTCTTGCAAACTCTATTGTGATTTTGTGATGAATCAATTGTGTCCGATTCCTTTCAGTTGTATATGTTGAAACCAGAAAATGGCATTGTGTATTTCAATTAATATGCATTGTGAAGCAAGTGATAAGAGAACTTCTTTCAATTATTGTCTTGTAGGCGAGATGGAGCGACTTCAGAAGTTCTGGTTGTCTGGTGCGTGTCATAACAACAAGAAAAAGGATCCTAATTCAAATGGCTTTGGTCAAGGGGCCAAGAGTTCCTATCTGGGCATCAGAAACTTCACCAGCGCTTTTATATTCTTGGCTGGTGGTATTGCCTTGGGTGTGATCTTGGTGGTCCTGGAACATCTATACTTCCGCTTTGGTCGGAATAGACTCAAGGAATGGGACAAACGTGGCTGTTGTGCCCTTGTCAGTCTAGTGAGTTTCATATGATATTGGCTTGTTTGCTTGTAGAGTGTGCCTCTGCCGGTGTAGTGAGTTTCACATCATATTGGCTTGTTTGCTTGTAGAGTGTGCCTTTGTCAGTCTAGTGAGTTTCATATGATATTGGCTTGTTTGCTTGTAGAGTGTGCCTTTGTCGGTCTTGTGAGTTTCATATGATAATGGCTTGTTTGCCAGTTGAATGCGCCTTTGTCGGTCTATACTGGTTTCAAGTGATACCGTTTGCTTGCTAGCTGAATGTGCCTTTGTCAGTCTAGAGATTTTCATATGATTTTGGTTTCTTTGTTTATGGAATGCGCCTTTGTGGGTCTATTGGTTTCATATGAAACCGTTTGCATGTTAATTGAATGTGTTCTTGTCAGTCTATTGAGTTTCATATGATATTGGCTTGTTTGCTTGTAGATTGTATCTAGGTTGGTCTAGTGGTTTAAATGATACCGTTTGCTTGCATGTTGAATGTGAATTTTGTTGGTCTAGTGGCTTTATATGGAACCGTTTGCTTGGTAGTTGAATGTGCCCTTTTCAGCCTAGTGACTTTATGATGTTGGTTTTGTTTGCTTATGGAATGTGCCTTTGTCGGTCTAGTTGTTTCATTTGAAACAGTTTGCTTGCTAATTGAATGTTCTGTTGTCATTCTAGTGAGTTTAAGATGATATTGGTTTCTCTGCTTATGGAGCGTGCCTTTGTTGGTCTAGTGGTTTCATATGATACAGGTCACTGCATGTTGAACATGCCCCTGTAAGTATCATGGGTATCTTATCATAGAGGTGTGTGTACAGGTAGGATGTGTCCTTACAGGTCTAGTGAATTTGTTACCATACTGGTTTGTTTGCGAGTTGAATGTGCCCTTGACAGTCTAGTGAGTTGCATATGAGACTGTTTGTTTTCCAGTTGAATGAACCTTTGTCAGTCTTGTGAATCTCATACGATACTGCATGCCTGCCAGATTAATGTACGTTTCCCAAACTGTACAGGCGGCCATGACATGGAAGTAACCAGACAATATAGTCTCAAGATTAACTCAAATTAACACAACGGTTCCTTTACTTCTGTTTTGTACATACATTTATGATGTACATGCAGGTGGTATGAAATCACAACAGCAGTATACACGTCTTGTTTACTACTCCTAATCTGATGTACACATTGTCCAAAACAGCGAAAAAATGACATACTCAGTAATTGAAAATAGTGTGATTGGCATGAGGACCGATCGGGTGTCATATAAGTACTCCATGTATACGTAATGGAATCAGATATTTTTGACTGGTTAGTATCTACCGTTGACGTTTTCAATTGCCTTGAACCTGAATGTGAAGTGGTATTAACTTGGATAAGGATGAACCACTAAAGTTTCTATTGTCTGTTTTTCATTTCAACTTAAGTCGATCCGTTCTTTTGTTATACTATCTGCTTAGTTTATAGACCGCATTTAAAGAAAAAATGTATCAAGGCTTAAGTTATTTCAAGCTTTGTTGCCTGTCATAATCATCACAGGTAGCTAAGGTACTGTAAGTCCCCATGGTCCCTGGTATGGTGATCTACCTTCTGTTGTTGGCGATCTATAGCCAGTTTTTATATTGTATTGTCCAAATAGTGCTATCAGTTTTAACTCTCCACACTAGTTTTAGTTGTAATTGTGATATTCTAGTTGTTTTACTGTCCTTCGTCGACAGGCTTTTATAACGTACATATATTCCATTTCAATTTCACTTTTTATTGTATAAATTGTTTTCGTCACGATATGGCTGCGATATTGCCGATGCGACGTTAAATAGTAACTCACTCACTCATAATCATCATAACTGCTATTACTATTTTAAATATACAATAGCATTTATATCCGAATATCTATCTCACTGGATTCGCAAATAATTAACCCCGTGAGAACAGGCTTACACAATTTAGATAATGAAACCGTGAGAATAATCAGTTCTTGAAGGTTTTGGGAAAGTGATTGGCTAGCAATGAAGCTGCGGTGCGCATGTCTCCAACGATAAAGGTTTCGTTTAAATCTAAATCCAGCCATTATCAGTATCGTTTACTGTAATTTACAAATAATTGTCTTGCCACAGAGCATGGGGCGATCTCTCACATTCAAACAGTATGTGACCAAGGCAATTGACGTCCACAAACGACATCGCTGCACAGACAGAACATGCCAGGCCCAGTTTTGGGAGGTACAACATGAGCTGGATGCAGCACTGGGAAAGGTGGACAAACTACAGACACTAATTTCGTAAGTTGCCATGGAAACCTGCGTCACTGCCTAAATTTATTTTTCCTATGGTAATTTATAAAATTTGCAATACTTTGTATAATGTGAGCATACAATGTAACAGACTGAATTCATATTACATGAATCAGTAGAGGAACATTTAGAACAGACTGACTCAGTTTGGTTTTACGCCCCTTTTAGCAATATTCCAGCAACATCACGGCGGGGCCCACCAGAAATGGGCTTCACACATTGTGCCAATGTGGGGATTCGAACCCGGGTCTTCGGCGTGACGAGCCAACGCTTTAACCATTAGGCTACCCCACCGCCCCATTTAGAACAGAACCATATGTAAAAGGACAACAGAACCTTTAACTATGTTAGTTATTGCAGTTTCCAGTTATGTGCATTTCGTATTGTCTTGTTGTTTGAAATGACTTGATTGCAAATTACTAAGCATTATTGAATAGGCATTGCGTCAATTTTGTCTTTTCAATATCTGACAATGAGTAGTCTCGTCGATTGCTCACATGGTCTTGTGGGAACATCGTTGCGCCCGACATAAGCGGCGTAAAAGTATATCACTTACGTTGTCAAATACTCTTGTGACTTGGAAGATGCAGAATGGTTTATTTCGTTATTAGAACCCAGGCTTTGGCATAAGGAACACTTAAGTAAAAGGTTACCCAGTAACATACATGTCTCTAATAGACTATTACCTCCGAATTTGAACAGGAGGAATTCAATATTTAATGGATGGCCGGTGTTTATACTCATGACTGCGCGACTCATTTCACACAAGAATATAACACAGGAACGCAAAGTTCTGGTATAATTAGCTCTTGTCACGATCCCCGTAGAGAAAATGTCATACATATAGAAGTATGTAGATAGTCTAGACTGCATAATTCTATTTCATCAGGTCAAACCGATTCTTGGTGTGAATATTACATTGTAATACGTTAATGAACCATCCCTTAGAGACAGCTGATACTTGATAATGCATTGTCTACATGAAATGCTACTTTTGTAAACCTACTTATATACTTCAAATAATCAGTTTAGTCTCCTCGTTATTTTAAGAGTAATCCGCCTACCTTATATATATATTATAAGTACACACTAATAATATTCTTATGTTTGTATGTTTTGGAATTCATAGACATTTAAAACAGCAGAAAGAAGATAGATGTGTGTGGAGATTTGAGTCAGAAGATCATCAGAACCAAAGTCCAGCCAACACGAACACTCCATTACCGGGGAATGCTGAGGAAATACACGTTGAAGGTGCATCTGAACAGAAGCCAAGGCGTCGTCAAGATGACGCTGACACAAAAGGAAGTGACGTCACACAGGTTGAGAAGGTCAGGGACGAACTGATGAAGCTTCTTCAGGATGAGTGCGAGCGAGAGAGCGTCATATGAATTCATTCGGTTGAAATGTTGATATGATAGCTGACATTCGTGTTGGTTGTCTCACGTGTTTCTTCAAAGGAGCTTCTGCATGCATACTGTTTCCATTTGCATCCACGTGGACATTCAAATGTTATAAAACATGGACATAAGAAAGCTCAAATGACAATATACCAACATGAAATGTTTAAATAACACCTTGTCTTCCAGTCAATAAAGCCTACATCATCTCACATGACGTATCTGGCAATGTACCCATAGAAACCCTTTTGTAATGTTTAGTCTGTGTAACGATAACATGTCGACATTGAAACCCTCTGATATTTAAATATAAGACAATGGCACCTGGGGTTTATTTAAGGCTTAGTTTACTTTGTTCCTGTTTCCCATGCTTAACACTGAAGCGTTACAAGGACAGCCCAATAACATCGGGGACAACCTTGACGATTCCATGTCAACGATGAACACTCAGCTCCAAATTTCCTTGTCCCTTTTAATAGGTATCTGTTATTCTTGTCAAGCTATGGGAACATGAAAATGAATTTGTGCACGAACGCTGTTTTCGTTTGTTTATTTTTAAACAACACTATGTTGACTAACCAACTATCCGTTTCGAAACTCGTTTCCCCGTCGTATGCCCCAGAGATCCAAAGCGGAGATTGACGTCAAACGTCATTGCACATTGCAGAGAACAAATCACAAAGACCTACAGGAAAAGCCTTAATATTCCCATATCAAGGGAACACTTAAAGTTGAATTTTAATTTCACCAAAACGCAGTTGAATGATGTATATTTTGCTTTAATATTGAATGCAAAAGCTTTGCATGTTTTCAGAATGTTAACAGAGTGATTTTGTGGCATCATCGACAAACTTGCACATATCATCCGTCACGAAAGCATATCACTGCGCCCAACAGTAGGAAACAGAGAGTGGTAGTTTCATTTAGCAGTGCCGAAGCTCGATAAAAGTGAACGCGCTACTTATAGTACTTTTTGTCAATATAATTCAATGCAATAATGCTTATCTGAGCTTCCTTAATGTACATAAATCATTGTGCTTCAGATTCATAATGTTTTGATGTTTTTGCATTTGCCAGACAGTCGTATTTTCATGGAGAGACGCTTTTATTGGTCGGTGCCCACAGTTTGTACATACAATTTTGCGTCTTGCGTATGAATGCATCATTTGTATGTACGTATATTCTTGTATGGTGGCACCTTTGTTAATGAGTGTTATCTTATAGGAACGGATCACTTTACCTGCCTAGTATTCATGTATGTTCGTGCTTGGTTTAAAGCCAAACTTGGTGTCCAATGTCCGGAGGGACGTAGTACGTTCAGTCAAACACCCTTGTCTCGAACTGTAAGGTACCTACGTAAATAAATCGGGTTATACGAGGTTCGACACAGCCGGAAAGTAATGACTAGATAATGTATGCATAAAGACGAAGCTTTTACTTCGAGACAACAATACGTTCGACACAAGTGTAAGGTGTTTGACTGTAAGGTAGATGATTTCGTTTAGTACAACTGTAGAATATGTTCGTTGCTTTTTGACAAGATTGGAACTAGATATTCCATGTTTTTGGCAATTGGAAACATGGATTCCTGTGCAATGTTGGCCCGATGTACATTTTTAGGGTTCTGCGGACACCTAATTATTGTGAGTGTACTGGTTGGATTGAATACATTCTACGTCATATGTTTACTTGTTTACAACTTCTTTAACACGTGTGTCTATATACAATGTATAGTATTCATTTTTTGGTAAATGGAGCATGACTGCTTTTTTATGGGGTTTGTTTCTCGGGACCGAGAGCTGAAATGACCGGTGCCTAACTTATTCTATTCTTGATCATTCTATTACCTTTTTCATAAGTATGCTTACTGAATGTTCGTAATTTTCAATGAATATTGTAACATAGAGCGTAAAAGGAAAAACACTTTTAGTAGAATGATGGCTTCGTAAGACAATAGTCCTAATATAGGTAGATCCACAATAGGTATTTCAAAAAACATTTATTTGTTATCTAACGACTGTAGGAACTAGTTTCTTTTGTCCCATCTTATAGTATCTGGCGAGCTAAGGAAAGCCAGACACATCAAAGCAAAGGCACTGCACTGTATACGTCTAAGCTGATTATATCGTGATGCAAGTATCACCACCTGTGGCATTAAATGGCAAAGTAATCCTTTCACGTTGGGGGTATTTTCTTCAGGGAAAAATGTGGCACTGAGGGAGATATAAACAGTAGGAATATGACAGGTCATTAGACTAAGACATCTAGTCAGTCCCGTGTCAGTTAAATATCATTTACATTCAAACTTTCGCAGACAGACACACACACACACACACACACACACACACACACACACACACACACACACACACACACACACACACACACACACACACACACACACACACACACACACACACACACACACATGTATATATTATTACACGCTTCCATAATATTTCATTTTCCTTGGCCAAAGAATCAACATTACTTGATGAATATTCTATAGGGCAACCTTTGTACCACTAAAGTTATAAAAAGTATAAAACAATTATTATGGTGATCAGACATTACTGATCAGTCATTAAAAGGCCATATTACAATATGTCTGTATCTACCCTGCGATTCCATAATGAGACGTTTTCCTATAGCGTTCAGATACATGGACATGTCGTTGATCTGCCTGACGAATATGTTCTTTTTTACAGAAGCCATTCCTTGAAATAAAATGTATTGAAAGTTGTATGCCGTCTTTTTGTGATGAAGCATTGTGACTTTTGTATGGGAGAGTACTCAGTCGAACATACGTATGGGTGATTGTCTCCCTTACACTAACTGGGGACATGTAGTGTACAAGCCAATGAGGAGAGGTATACAATAATATTGGTTTCAATGATAGACTGGACATTGCTAGTTATCAATAGTTCATTTATAAAATTATATAAATCTGTTTTGTTTTTTTCAAAACGAGGTATATAAAATATATTGTATTTCTATATCCCATGGTCCCTAGTATGGTGATCTACCTTCGGTTGTTGGTGATCTATAGCCCGTTTTTATTTTGTACTATTTTATATAGCTGTGATACTCTAGTATTTTAACTGTCCTTCGATGACAGGGTTTTTACGTCATACATTTATTGATTTGAATATTGATATATACTGTTTTCGTCACGATATGGCTGCAATATTGCCCATGTGTCGTTAAATTTTATACAATGAGTGAAAGCCAATTTCTGGTGTCCCCCGCCGTGATATTGCTGGAATATTGCTAAAAGCGGCGTAAAACCAAACTCAGTCAGTCAGTTAAATTTTAACTTACTCACTCACTTTATATCTCATGTTTACAATGAAATCAATACAAACAAATGAATTTTATCTGCCAATAAAGGTAAGGTAGTTTTACGTCACGATGTGGAATTTTGCATACTTTTTCACAACTTCAAACGTGTCTTGTACACGAACACTACTAAATTAGACAAAATGTACTGATTACCCACTACGGGTCACTTGAACTTGGTCCCATGGTCCAAGGCATGGAAAGGTCTATTGTGTACCTACATGGTAACCCAACTAAAAAGCCTACTAAAATCATTTCTAGACCAAAAACCGTTCCATGATCATGAAAGCAAACTTCATTATACGATACCGACAAGGTTCTCATGAACCGCAGGCACGTAAAAATGATACAAGGTTTTTGCCCAAAGTCAGAGTATCCTGCCCCACCGGTGGGAAATGCAATACCTGTACATGGTAATATATCGCTTTCCAGTAGTGACCACGAGCGTTGATGGTTATCAATGATGATAATGCTTCGTTTATATATTCCATCCACCATGTGATCGCTACTTGATACAGGAACATACAAGTAGTTGACATATGTCATCGTATCCCAATTGCGTAGCTCGATGCTCATGATGTTGATCATTGGATTGTCTGGGCCAAACTCGATTATTACAGACAGCTGTCACATAGCTGGAATATTGCTGGCCTTTGTGGTTAACTCTGCTTATTAAATTGTGTTATAGGTCACCTGTCGTACTTTGCATGGTCGTCTTCACCCTTTGGTACGATTTACAAGATGCAACATTTTACACCACCACATAGTTTACACGAGAGAGCGCAGAGAACCCAGTCTGTGGGTCTGTTGTTGATATGGTTTAATGTCGTTAGCATCTAGTTTACCCGTCTCGTGATTCACACTGGCGTAAAACAGTGCTGATAGAATAAGGATATCAAAAGACATCAGGGATTTGAGCCTACGACTTTGTATAGGGCTTTAGCTACCGTGGAATCGTTTGAGTAAAACCGCAGCTTTTCATCAAATGTATTTTCCTGCGTTGCATGGGAGATTTAAGTTTTACCCTCATTTTACAGAAAGGATGATAACAAATCCATCTGTCTTATGTTGCATGGTCCTTTTCTCCTGTGGCACATTTTACAAAACGCAAACAGGTTTCAATGAGTGATGAGAAGAATGATATTTTAACTACTACAAAAATATTTTCTTGACACTACATTTAAGCTAGCTACACCTCCACAAGGTATCTATAAGTTAAACCTACTCATTTGGTCATGTTGAGTGACTGATTTGTGCCGCTTTTAGCAATATCACCGCTGGGGACACCAGAATTGAACTTCACTCATTGTACCCGTGTGTGGAATCGAACCCGTGACGAGCGAAAGACGTACATGTGTGTGTGTTTGTGTGTGCGCGCGTGTGTGTCTCTCTGTGTGTCTGCTTGCACTAAATGGATTTATGGTGCCAGCTCACTGAGATACCATGTCGCGGAGGAACTGGATACCCCACTCAGACACATTACTCTTAGTCCGGTCCAACCTGTTCTTATTTTATTCCCCTAATGCGGGAGGACAGGCTTTGCAACAAGTTTCGCCTTTTAACGTCTTTTGGCATGCCCTGGACGGGGATCGAGTCATCGACCTTGGGATCTCCAGTCATGAGCTCTTTCCCCACAGCTCGCAGGGGTTCCCTAGTCAAGGTCGTGCTGAGAACACAAGTGTTAGGTTTTATGTTCAGTCAGCATTGCAGGGAAACATTTGAGTTTCGGAAATCACGTCAACATGACATTTGTTTCTCAGGGACGTATCAGGTTTGGTTATTTATGCCGTTGGCAATCCTGAAAAAGAGATTCACTCGAGACCCTAAAACAACTATATAGAATACAATACGCCTTATTTTTCCGTCGGCAGTTCCTGAAACTTGGCAGAAAGCGCCACATATCGCGCAACACCACGGAGAACACATATCTAGACGATGTGTAACCTGTGATAAGATAAACATGCTCTTTCTCATTTTTATAATCACTGGTATCTCACCGTCTATCTCTCATGTAAAATCTGAAATTCCTTCTTGGCACGAAGGATCTCATGTCTATATCTGCTTTTAACGAATGTGAGAATATGCTCTCCTCCTCACACCTGTCTAACTCACCCTTTATCTCATCCTGCGTCTTCTCAACTACTTGATGGCTGCAAACTCACCTGTTGCCTGTCCTTTGTCCGATTCCGACTGCATCAGAAACAGGTGTTTATGAATGTCCATCACACAAGGATGACTCACGTTGTTCGTGAACTATTAGCATACCTTTATGCGTTTCCACCAGTCACAAACACATGCAAACCAGCTCAATTGTTCACATGAGAACATATGATGCAAACCAAATTGGGAATTGCATCGGACATCATGTAGGTAGCTAATGCTGGAGCCCTGATTAATAACCTTACAACAAGTTAGATGTTGATGTGATCTCAATACGGTGTACATACTATGTATATAAATTGAGTAGCGTGTGTGTCATTGGACATGTTCTACGCGTTTATCCACCATACAACTGCGTAATCCACACTAAGGTCTTTAATGCTAGCGCCCTGATTAAACACCTTTACGCAAGATAGATGTTGATGCGAACAATTCAGTACAGGGTACATACTATGTTCATCATCTGGGTAGCAAGTGTGTCACATTTGGACACGATCTACGCATATATCTACCATAAAACATTCCGAAATCCGTACTTAGGTCTTTAATGCCGAAGCCCTGATTAAAAAGGTTTGAGGAAGACTGGGGATGAAGCTAACAATTTCAACACAGCATATGTTCGAGTCATCGAATGCTGCTGGTATGTTCCAGAAAGTTTATACGTGGGTATCTATGCCTGCTAAAGCTGAAACAGAACCGAAGGAACAGATCAAGATAATTGCACTGCACGATACGAACGCATGTCCTCCCCCGTCAGATAAAACGTCCCAGGTCAAACATGACACCAGCTTAAGAAACTGCGAATGACTAAGTATGATGAGTTACATGTCCCGTAGAACTCTGATTTGGGAAAAATGACATGTTTCTAAGTTAAGTTCTACAAGTTGTTATCAGCGTATATTGAATAGGGTCATCACTACAGTTGGCATCGAATCGTTATTTTTAGGCAACGTGTACGACATATTGTATTATTTCTACATTTCGTAATTTTTCAGGTACCAGTATGCTTGCATGGTGTCAAATCGATAATAACAGTTTAAACCAGATTTTCTAAATCGATACAAAAGCTGTTGATGAACACAATGCTTGAGTGAACAGCTCTAACTAACATACAATGCCAATTATTTGCAGTTGTGTTTGCTTATGTATTCCAATCTCACAACGAGCAACGTTTATGTAACGTTGAGCAATAGGTTGTCGAGCCAAAATGCATCAAATCGATGTCCGGAGAGTTTTAAAAGTTATCCTTCCTGAATGTATATTTACCGGATCGTGATGTCACATCTCTTGCATTGGTTTACCGCATTGAAACACCCACTATACGATAAGTGAAGTACATATTACATAAAGCGATGTTACAATTCTTGACGTGCATTATTTATCTGAACAGTAATAATCCTTATTATTATTCAATTGAGTGTCGATAAGAAAATGAACACTTAGATGAATGGCATTATGATATAGGATTGGATGAATGGTGCAGATGAATCAGTGCTATGTGATGTCAATTAATAACTGTTGTTATAGAATGGTCTCGTCAGGTAATAGTTATCGAGACAGGCAATATATGTCCTGTTCAATTTGTCTGTCTGGTGTACTATTCAGGTGAATTGTTCTGTATAGTGATGTGATTCAGCATACAGACACATTTGACAGGTGCCCTCATGAGTTGCTCTCAGCATCTTGCATTGGGGGGAACGTTCAACCTTGAGATTAGTTAGCTCATCCTTACGGCTTGTCTATGACGCTCGATCAGTATTATTAGCTATTCCCAGAATAACATACCCAATAAATAGAACCAGTGCTTTGTTAGGCAGATACATCGATAGAGATATGGTTTGGTAACATGGTATTGAGACAGACTGTTACTTTGAATTGTGTGAGAAACAATAATGTATTTTATATGTATTTTACACGAACCCAGCACACATAATCTATTAAACCCATTTAACAAACGAAGTTGCAAAGGTATATTAATAGAGTGAGTGTGTTACTTATAAATAGAACGCTTACAACACATGTTTCTTTC